TGCACAGCCTACTTTGTGCCCCTCAGACCCAATTCAATTGCAAGTCACTGTAGTTGCTGTTGGATTTGGACCTACACTCATCAAAGCTTGCCATTGTTGCTGTTGCTAACAACTATAATCCATCATCCCAAAGGCCTGTTCCAAATACTAACAATAAGACAAGGAGAGAGAACACATAGAGAGAAAGGAAGGAGTTGTACTAACTGGTCTTTGCTAAACATTTGCTACCTTATGGTTGGAATGTTTCTATGTGCCATTGTTAATTGCTGTTGACCAACTCCAAAGCTTTCTACTAACTACACACACATATTTTATATTATAACAATATAGTTGCATTTTCTTGTCTTTTTTTGGTTTGCTTAAGCAAATCTGTAGAGGAATTGAGATGGTAGTGAATATACCTACAATATGCTTGAATATTCTAGGATAGTCTACCATCTAGAATCTTGTATTTATTATTTATAAACATGTTTATAATTTATAAACTTGCTTAAACACTTTCTAGTATATTCTTTTTTATTCTACCATCTAATGGTTGATATGAAATAAGATTAACCTTGTGTTTATAAATTATAAACATGTTTATAATTATAAACATTTATTTAATCAATTGAATTAATAAGTAAGAATAACACTACTATTAAGAAAACCAAACGTTGCTACATGCAACACGTAGAAAGTTTTTTTTCTAATAATTTATATTGATGTATTTACCTCGGTTCAAAGGCCATAACTTTAGAGATCCCATTTACAGTGGCTAACAAAAGAGAGCGGCCTTCTGGGTAAGGATTGTCTTTACAAAGTTTGACAGCCATAGATAAATTAGTTGAAGTAAACATTTGAAGAAAGGTGATGGCTATCAAGCCATATACACAGTCAATGAGAGCATCATCCATTGTTACGTGCTGTGTTGAGTTGCTATGAGTGGATATCCACCAGCTATGTACACATATAACCATGAAAAAAGGATGGTCATCATTGCACTCGATGCAGTGTCTAATCTGCAAGTTAATCCTAGATAGCCGAAATTTGTGGCAAACACACCAGCCTAGGGACACAGAGATGTCTCGAGAGGCAAAAGGAATTAAGCATCCCTTTATCTTAAATGAATAAATATAAGCCATTGAAGAAATAAATATGACATACATAAACCATCAAAGTCTCTTTGATACATAGAAGTTATGGATTTCAAGTGGTCATGAATTGCATTTTATGGCACTAGTCCAGGCACATTGTAAGCTATAGTTGGAGGTCCAATCTTGGAAGCATCATGATCACTTGCTCCTTCGATGTTGTGAAATATTTTGAGTGGCATTTGACGTCCAAACCATTCTGATTTGACTTTATCATACATGAAAGACATACATGCTGCAACTTGAACCTAAGTATGGTAGTTGTTATTAACAACAGTATTGAAAGCTCAAGCATACCTTGTAAATATACTCAAAGTCGTTACCATGTTTGTGCTCTACTCATTTAGGTCAACTGAGGAAGTATGCTGCAGCAGTGTAAAATGCTGATCGTGTGGCTTCTAGCGTGAAATCATGCAAAAGAACCAAGTTGGATATAGGAATTATATTAAGCATAGGTGGCCTCAGTGGTGGGAACTCACAAACTAGGGAGGAAGCAATAATATCAATAGCAAATCTAAAGGAATAGA